GAGAGAGAGAGAGAGAGAACACAAGCAGGAGAGGGGAAGAGAGAGAGGGAGACAGAATCTGAAGCAGGCTCCAGGCTCTGAGCTGTCAGCGAGTGCAAAGGCCCTGAGGTTGGAGAAAGCTTGGCAAATTCAAGGAACAGACAGAAAACAAACAGAACGTAGGGCAGTTTTCAAACAAGTGGGTTCTTAACAAGCAAAGGGAAAGAAGAGAGAGAGGGCGAGGGGCAAACCAAGAAACAGACCCTTAAGTACAGAGAACGAAGGGCTGGTTACCCGCGGGGAGGTGGGCCCTGGGCCGTGGTGTGCGGAGACCCCGAATCACTCACACTGGGCTGTGCGACAACTCGCTGGGATTTAAGTCAAACTTGCGAACAAGGGCGCCCCCCAGCCACGCATTTCGATGGCTCGTGATCTGAAGCGCCCACGCGGCAAGTCGGGGCGAGGGGTCAGTTGGCCGCGGCGAGCGAGGGGCGGGACAAGTCCCTGGGGGTCCTGCCGTTCGAGGTCCGACTGACCGCTTCCTGCCGTGGGACCCCTTCCTCCAACGAAGCAGGCGGGGACCCGGAAGCAGGGACCCATGGGACGTCTCTGTCCCCCCACCTCCCAGATGCCCTCTCTCTGCGCCCCAGTCTCCTCACCCGGAAAAAGGACAGCGAGTCCCCCCTTGGGGGGAGGTGAGCGCGGAGGTCGCATCGGGGCCTGACCCGGGTCTTGCCGGCACCCCGCGGCCCCTGTCCGAGGCCAGGGGGGCGGACCCTGCGCTTTGCAAGGCCAAGTCCGGCCTTCTCCGGTGCGGTCACCTGTTAACTCCTCCGCCCGCCCCCCCCCGGATTAGTTTCCCGCGGTTGCTGTGACAAATCCCCTTAAACCCGTGGCTTGGCCGCAGAAGGTCACCGCCGGCTGCTTCTGGAAGCCGCGGGTCCCAGACTGAGGTGTCGGAACGCTTGGTCACTGTGTTCCCTGCCGCCTCCACGGCCACCAGGCATTCTCTCCAGGCACGTGCTGGGTCTCAGTTTCCCCCTTTTGTAGGGACGCCAATCCTATCGGACCAGGGACCCGTCTTCCTCCAGCGTGACGTCCCCCGAACTGAACTGATTACATCTGCAACGACCCTCTTTCCAAATAAGGTCACTTTCTAGCGTCTTGGGGGCCAGGACTTCAGCGAATGAATTCGGGGGACACACCAGGCAACCCCAGCGGCCACCACTGAAAATCTTTGTGTGCGCCTCTCCCTCTCTCTCCAAGCTCATTCCTACCCCAGGACCCTTGCATGTGCCTGTCCCTCCCTGCCGGGAAAGCCTGGCTCCTGTGGGTCTGCCTTCTTCTCGGCTCAGAGAGCAGCTTCTCAGCAGGATGCTCTTCAACGTGCCTTCACCTCCAACCCTCCTCTGTCATCCCCTTGCTGTTCTTCAAATGCTCCAAGCACGTCCCTGCCTCAGGGCCTTTCCGCCCGCTGTTTCCTCTGCCTGGAACATCTTTCCCTCACCTGGTTCCTTCCTTCATCTTGGGTTTCAGCTCACGTGGCCCCTGGTTGGCTGGAGTCTCCCTCCGGCAGTCAGTCCCTGAGCCCCTCCTCCCTGCTCCGTTTCCGGCCTTCTCTCTGCTGGGTACATTGCCACCCGCTGCTTTAACTGTTTCTTGCCCCCCCCCCCCGACTGTGGTCCCGTGGGGCAGGTGGTGTCGTCTCGGTCCCTGCTGTGTCCCCAGCCCCCGGAACAGGAGCCCCTGGAATAGCTCACAGCACTTGGTGAATAAATGTTTGTGCAGTCGATGGATCATGACTAATCAGATCTTAGAATGACGGCGCGGGCCTCCAGCTCGGTGGAAAGTTGGGGCTCGCTGCTGCCCCCCGGGCTGAGAATCTCAACGTCGTCACATCTTAGAACCCGAAGGAAAGGTGTTTTGGAATTTTCCGACTCCACTTCCCTGCCCCGCACCCCCCCCCTCAGCTTCCTGGGCACAGTTCAGTGGCTCTCCTTGGTTACCTCCTGTGATGGGGACCTCATTACAGCCCAAGGCACACCAGTCAGGTTTGGGATAGGCGCACAGGTATGATAATTCCGCTTTTAGAACCAAACCCATATTTCCCACCCTTGGGTCTCAGAACCGCCCCTCCCCGGCTCCCTGCTCCCACAGCCCGTCCACTCCGTCCGCCTCCGGGAGCCGGGGAGGCGGGGAAGGACGGATCCGCTGTCTGGGCCGCAAGTTCCTTTCCTCCCAAGGTGAGAGCTGAGGTGCGTGGGTAGCGGGAAGGTTAACTGATAAGGGATGCGCTGGCCGATAAGGAAAACGTTGGCAGGTAACCAGTGAGAACGAAAGTGCCCCCGCCAGTAAGTCCTCCCTGGCTCCCTCTCGCAGGCCGTCCTGCACCAGGCCTTGAGCGCCACCCCCACCCCCATCCCGGCCCGGCGCTGGGAGTCGCGGTTGGAAACACGGATCGGATGCAGTCGCGCCTTCAGAGCACAGTCTGGCGCATCTGAGATCTGAGCTCTCGCGGAGCCCCCGGAACACGGCCGTTCAGACGCCGCAGGCTCGGGGCGGGGGGCCCGGGGCGGGGGGCGCCGAGCGGGGGCGGCCGCTGACCGCTGGGGGCCCAGGTGAGCCCCTGAGGGCGTCCCTGCTGCCGGCTCGGCTGGGCCGGCGCCGTCTCTCCTGCGTGGGTGGCCAGCGGCTTCATCTGGCCCCAACGGCTGTCACTCAGCCCCAGTCACACTGGCGACAACACGGTTGCCATGGAAACGAATATGCTTCCCCTTGGGGGGGGCGGGCGAGCCAAGGGAGCCAGAAACGGTGTGCGATGTGTGAATCCGGCACAAAATGACCCAGACCCGGTGCCTCGAGGGGTGGGGGATGGGGAAGGGGGGAGGGGAAGGTTTAACTCCTTCGCCGCTGACCCCCCCCCCAGGTCCTCTCTCAGTCTGGGTTCTCCGGGAAGCCGGGTTTCAGCGTCAGAGTCCCGAGGTGCCTCAAGCCTGGGTCTCACTCGGGGCAAGGTGACTCTTCGTGCCTCAGTCTCCTCATCCAGGAAGTGGGCATGAGAAGGCGCACTCCTGTACGCATTCACTGAATGCACACTATTTACCCGAGGCCTGTCACGTGCTCGGCACTGGTCTAGTTCCCTCGAGGTTCCGACACCACGGGGGAGGGGCAGACAGCAAAGAAATAAGGGAATTAAAGAGAAATCAGAAAGCACTCGGCAGAAGGCAGAGTGGATAGATGTGATCATGAAGTGGGGGAGCGTTTAGCAGGGGGCCAGGGAGGAGGTCGGACGGTGACATTGGAACTGAGACCTGAAGGATGAGAAGAAACCAGTCATGGGGACGTCTGGGAAGGGAGCTGTCCAGGTGGAGGACATGGCTGTGCAAAGGCCCTGGGGCAGGACCACGTGGTGTGATGGAAGAGCAGAGAGGAGGCCTGTGTGGCTGGAGCAGAGTGAGGTCACTGGGTGAGAGGGAGGGGAGAGGACAGAGAGGGGACAGGAGCAGGTCCTGCAGGGCCTAGGGGACTTGGGCTTCAACCCCGGGGAGGTGGGAGCCCTGGAGGGCTGTGGGCAGAGGAGGTCGGGTGCTCACGCGCGCCCTCTGGTGGCCGCTGCGGGAATGACAGCCCGTGGGGGGACGGGAGGGACTGGAGACCAGGGTCAGGGCTCGGGTCCAGGAAAGAAATACGCAGGTCAGCCGGGCAGAGGCTGCCCCGCTAGCCTTGCAGTGTCCTTCATCACGACTGTGCCGGAGCATTTATTGAAATGCTACATACCGAAGTACGCAGAAAGTTACAATATAGAACATTCTTTTTATTTCTCCCTTATAAGCAGCAAGTTAGGTTTTTTGAAATTGCCTGTGTAGGTAGGTTATTTCGTCCATGAATTTTGCGCTCACGGGCCGCGACTCCCATGCCCCTGATGTGTATGCGTGCGACAAGGCCTGGCGGTAAGAAACGCCCAGGAATCCGGGCCTGTGGTCCCCGGGGTCACGGAAGAGACGTAGGGGGAAGGCGGTGTCCTCCCCGCAGGCTCCTGGGCCGTCCAGACCCGGTGAGCTCCGTGTTTCAAGGATCCAGTCGCAGTCCCCCCTAGAGCTCTTCCTGAGGATGGAGAAACAGACTTCAGAGAAGGCAAGCTGGTTTCCCAGCGTCACACAGCCTGTCCAGAGAGCCCAGGGTTTAAACCCCCGCTGCTGGGCCAGTCCGGATGCCTTGGCTCCGCCTTGAGCAAAGCCCTGCTCCTCCACTCTTAGCCTGACCCACACCCACAAACTGCAGACTCCCGGGTGACCCTAAGCCGGGGAGCCCTCGCCTCCCTCAGCCACAGTGATTGGACCCGAGTCAGGCCAACCGGAATCAGGCACGGGTTTTGCTGAGACCAAGAGGCGGGAGCGTTTCCGGGTCCGCCTGGGTTGCTGACCCGAAGGAGAGGAGTTTCGCTTGGAGACTGGGGCTCTCTGTTTCTTCCATGAACGGGAGGCCTGAGCTGTGGATGAAGCGCACTCAGAGGAAAGCCGGGCCGAGACACAAAGTGACGGCCTTCCAGACGCATCATCTCGGCTCATGGATCCAAGCTCCGCCCGAAACTGGGGACCCGGGACTTGGCCGTTGCTGGGCGCTGTTTGCAGGCTGTGTTTGCCCAGACCTGCTTAAGTTCGCCTGTTCCCAACCCAGCAGAGCCCCGAGCAAGCCACTCGGTTTCAAACTCTCAAAGTACCCGTCCTGTTAGGGTTTCATCGTGTGCTGGAGGGGTCTTCAAAAGGGGGCATAAGGAAAGTTTGGGGGGTGATGTACTCCTCTTGATTTTGGTGGTGGTTGCGTGGAAATATACATGTGTCAAAACCTATCGAATCATACGTTTTTGCATATTTATATGTCAATTACACCTCAACAAAGACATAGGTGTTTAGAGTAGCACCACTATCATCGTTTCAGCTCTTGGATCCAGCCATGCCTGAAAGCAGACAGTCTGGACTTTCCAGATACACAAGCCAATAAATGTCCTCTTGCGGGAATAATAATTATTACTAGTAATTTTTATTTCGTTGTTAGTCGTCTCAGCCTTTCTGTCTCGTGTTGCAGTCTGGATACCAGAGGGGGCAGTCGTATGATGAGAGAGCTCGAAAACTGTGGCCCGGAAACTGCTGTGGATAAAGAGGTTATGTTCACCTCACCTGGGAAATTGTTCGACAGGTATCCCTTCTGCAGAACTTGTCAGAGCCTTTAAGATACGAATGGGCCAACTCCGAGGCTTGCTCTACACAGTCTACCAGAGGTCCCCCAAATGTGAGCCCACAAGTGCCCCCACCATTGGCTCCTTACGCTGCCAGTCCCCCATCTCCCCTCACTTTCTCCTGCTTCCTGGAATCACCTTCCAGATAAACGCTTTCACCTCTCAGAAGGCCCCACGCAGTGATCTCCCAGAGCCCACAGCCCCAGGACCCCTCTCGCGTGGGCCGTGGGAAGGTCAGGCGCTTTTACCTCCCCTGTTGGAAAACACCAGAAAGCCCAGGAGGCCGTGTGCCTCCTGGCCTGGGGACAAAGCCTCTCAGAGCTGCTTCCGCTTCCCTCCAGCCGACCTCTGAGCCTTTGCTTACGCTGTGCCCTCTGCCTGGCTGCCTATCCCCTCGGCCTAACCAAATGCCCTCGTGTAGGATTCCCCTGGATGCCGGGGCCCACAGTGCCTCCGGATTATTAACTAAGCAGCAGAATTCCCGCGGCCAGCCCTCCTGGCCCCCCTTCCTCCCTCCGATGATTAGAGGAAGGAGCCTCCAGCGGGACCGATGTGACCCTTCCCTGTCGCCCCCTCACCCCCTTGTAAGCCAAGCGCCAGCGGCTGGGCAGCCGCCTCACTGGATGGAAGCGTGTTTTGTTCCCACCCTGTGTGTGCTTGCTGCCCACCTGCTATTTGTGACAGGTGCGAGCCGCTCTCCATTTCCAGCAGGGCAGCAGCGACTCTGTTTTTAAATACACCGACTTGAGAAGACGTGAGTCAGCTGGAAGCCAAACACTAAATAAATCATGGGGCAGGTGGGGCCCCACCTTTACCGATGAAGTTTGGGAAACGCCCACCTCTTTCAGGAAGCCCTTCCGGATTGCCCCGGCCAAGCCCTGGAGGTCTCGGAACCTTCTCGTGACCCGCGACCCGCCTACACACGTGGGCAAGGGCACGGGGCCATCTTCAAATCGGGTTCGGGGAACCCGGAGCGGAGGAGCGGTGTCTCCGGTAGGGCCGGGCCACGGCGGCGCTGGGATCCGGGGTGCGGGCGTCTCCGGGCCAGCTGGGCTCGCCTCCCGCAGCTGTTGGCGTTGCCATGGTTACCGAGCAAGCCTCCCCCCCCCCACCCGCGCGCGGAACCCCTCACCCTCGGACCAGGCCCTTCAAGGGACTGAGGCTCCTGGGTGTCATGGAAACGGTTTCCAGGCGCCGCAGCGGGCTTCCTCATTGGCTGGCTGGGCCTGGCCCGCGAAGGTCATTCCCGGGGTCACGTCCAGGCGCGGGTTTCGTCCAGGCCCCCAAGCACGTGCAGCTGGGTGTCCGCTGTGGAACCTTGACTTTCAACGCATTTTGAACTCCCGGCGCAGCTGACAGTGTCCACGCCCCCTGGGTGGGGCTGGAACCTTTAGCCACTAACCACCCCCATGCCCCCCCCAACCTGTTTTAAGTTAAATGCTCCGGGCTCACCCTGTAAACGTGGAGCTCAGAGGAACCACCAGGCAGCGGCTTCCTCTTCTTCTAGAACCTTCTCCCTACAGTGATGGCCGCCACAGAGCAGGGTGGAGGCCATGACCCTGTCTGACCGCAGGAGCAGGTGAGCAGGCGGGCACCGGGCCCCCCGGGCAATGAAAAAATAAGCAGCGGCAGCGAATACTCGCTGGGCAGTTCCCTAGTGCCCGGCCCTCTTTTCAATACAAACACCAAGGTTAAAGGCATCATGTCCCCATTTTAGAGATGGGGAAGCCAAGGCCCAGAGCAGCCGCGGGCTTTGCCCGAGACCACACGGAACAAATGCAAGTGGCAGTCTGGGATTTGCACTTGGGCCCCGCGGCCCGTGGTCAGCAGGTCTCAGCACTGATCATGTGACTAAATGTCCCCAGGTGACATCTGCCATCGGAAATGGCGCAGGGGCCTAGGACTGAGAGGGAGCTCCCAGGAGGGGCCAGGATGCTGGGTGGCCCGAGGGAGAGATGGTGCTGCCAGGGGGGCCTGGGGGCTCCAGAACCTTCTAAACTCTCCGCCAGGGAGTGCGGAGCCATCCAAAGAAACAACCCACATTTAAGCGGTGAGCCCACCGTGCAAGCCCGGCTTCCAGAAGGTCCCCTCCGACGCCCAGCCACTCTTCTCCTTCCAAACAGACCCTGCAGCCCAGCCCGGCCGCGGGGAGATTCTGGAAGGAGATGCAGGCTGAGGAGGAAAACGGAATTCCAGCGGAGCGTGCGGTTCTCTGATGGCTGCCTGTGTGCGGAGACGCTCCCAGGGGCCCCGCCAACAGACTCCCGCTCAGGCCCTTGGGGTCCACGGGCGGGGGGTGGGGGGCGAGAGCGATCCAGAGAGGGAAATCGGGAGGCCAGGCTAAGTGGGGAGATGGGAAGAAGCGACATTCGAAATAGGGCTAATTGGGGCGCCCGGGGGGCTCCGTCAGTTGAGCATCTGACTTCGGCTCAGGTCATGATCTCACAGTTCGTGGGTTCAAGCCCCATGTCAGGCTGCTGACAGCTCAGTGCCTGAGCCTGCTTCGGATTCTGTGTCCCTCTCTCTCTGACCCTCCCCTGCTCACGCTGTTTCTCTCTCAGAAATAAATAAACATTAAAAAACTTAATTAAATGGGGTATGTGGAGGAGCAGGGACCCGCCAGGCACAAGACGGGAGGCAAAGGGAAACGCTGGGTCGAGCAAAGGCCAGGCGCCAGCCGGTGGGTTGGAAGGTGAGCCGTGTGGCTGGAGCGGCCGAGCAGAGGGGACGTGGGCCGGGCAGACACACTGAACACCACCCCTCCCCCATTCCCACGTTGAGATCTGCACCCCAGTGTGATGATATTGGGGGGGCCTCTGGGAGCCCCCATGGACGCAGCCAACCCCTCCCCCCATGACCGCCTTCTCGCTAAACCAGGAGCAGGCCCTCCCCAGGCACTGAGTCTGCCAGCGCCTTGATCTTGGACTTCCAGCCTCCAAACCCCAGAAGTAAATACGTGTTGTTTATCAGTCCCTGGTCTATGGGAATTCGGTTACAACAGCCCTAATGGACTGAAACAGAGGTTAACTATGCAAAGCGTGTCCAAAGGGCTTCTCGGAGGAGGTGACATGTGAACAGAGCCTTGGAGGGTGAGGAGGAGCTGGCCGTGGGGAGGTCTGGGGAGAAGAGCATTCTGGGCAGAGGGAACCACACGGGCAAAGGCCCTGGGGCAGGAGCGTGCCAGTTGTGTTCAAAGAACAGCGGAGAGGCCGGGGTGGCCGGAGCAGACCGAGCGAGGCGGGGAGGAGACAGGGAGGCGGGAAGGCGCTGCTCCGCCCCCCCCAGGCGAGTGATGATGGCGGCCTGGCCCAAACAGCGGCAGAGGCGGCGGGGGGGTGCGGCCGGGTGCCGGGATTCGGAGTGTAATCTGGAGACCAAGCCCCAGGGCTGAGGGAGGCGAGGGGGGAGGGGACAGACGGTGGGACTGGAGGTGACTCCGGGCCACACAACCGCCTGGAGATGTCGGCGCGTTTCCCGGCGTCCCGGCTCCCGCCAGCTGCCGGCAACGTGCGGCCCAGATGTTTCATCGCAGGGACATCTGTGCCGGGCCTTCCCCCAGCGTCAGGCGGGTTTCACCTGCTGCGGCGACATCTGGGATCCCTGGGAGCCGGAGGCGGAGGGGGAGGTGAGAGGGGACCCTTGTTCTAGGCCGGACGGCTGCCCGTGCCTCTCGCAGAGAAGGGGCGCATGGGTGCCCAGGGTGTGCCCACGCGGTGCTGGGGGGTGTCTGTGCGCTCAAATCCCCAGGTATGAGCCCCTCCCCGAAGGGGAGAAAGCGGGGGGCCCTCCACCGGGTCCTCGGGGTCACAGTCTCCAACCCCACGTTCCCACCTGCAAGCCTTTGCCCCCGCCAGGGTGGGCTTCCCACTCCGCCTTGTATTCATCTCCTCGACAGGGACGGACTAGAGCCTACTGTGTACCAAGCGCTGCCCCAGAAGGTAGCCGCGACCGAAATAGATGGAGAAAACCTCCAGAAAGCAAAAGCCAGAAAAGTCTCGGACCCCCAGGGGCTCGGTCTAGTGTCAGACAGGCTGTCCACAAACACAGGGGTGAAGAAAATATTTTCAAAGAAGGTAAGTCCTGGGAAGGAAACAGAACAGGATGTAACGTGAAGGGAAGGATGGAGAAGCTTCTTCAGCTGGGGGTAATCGGGGAGGGACTTTCAGAGGGGGTGGCATTGGAGCCAAGAGCTCAAACAGGAAGAAGCGCCAGCTGGAGGAGGAATGGGGGAAGTTCATTCTAGAGAGGGGGAACAGCAAGTGCAAAGGCCCTGAGGCAGGACCGTGCCTGGCAGAAGAGTAAAGGGACTCAAGGCGTTGGGCCCGTGTGAGCAAGGGAGGACTCGGAGGGAAGAGCGGCCATGGTGGTGGTGGCGGTAAGGCACAGAGGACCCCGTAAGGGTGTGGATTTACCCATATGTGGGCACGATCCCTGGAAGGGGAACAGGCATGTACGGGATCTTTTTCAACAGACCTCAGAGAGGGTGAGGCCTTTGCCCGCAGACACACAGCGATGACAGGCAGCAACGTGGCCTTTCCCCACATTCTCGAGATCGGGGGGCCCAAGACCCTGTAAACCTTTTCTCCAAGAGAAAAAAAAATGCACACAGTCAGCTCCATACAGTCTCCCAGCTGTTTGGGGAGAGGAGGCAGAGCGAGAAGAAGGTGTGTGTGGGGGGGGGGGAAGCGCAATATTTCTATTGTCCTTATCCAAATAAATTGAGATGTATTTGTGAAAGTGTCAAGGAAGCCTCCAGGAGCAAAACTATAAAATCACACAGCTGCTCGGAGGGCCCGTGACAGACAGCTCAGATTAATGTAGCTGTATTTTTATGGTCTGTTAACAACTGATATGGGTTTTAAATATATTATCTTCCATTGTATTGTCTGTCATTTTAAAAACTGCTCATGTCTCCTGTGTTTGCTTTTAAGAGGTTCTTATAGAACATTCCGCTGCCGAGCTCCCAAATCTCTTTTTTCCCTCCCCTCCCGTAGATATATCATTGCAGATCTTCTCCCCCTCCCCACCCCTGAGCTAGGTTTTCCCTGGTAGTTTCATGGCTAATTTGCCGCAGCACCAACTGGAACCCCCTGAGGTTCCTAATTCAGGGAGCAGCTGCAGGAGGCCGGTGCCCGTCTAGTTGAGATTTCCGACAGGGGCGCGTGAAGCTCCCCCGGGTGGGACAGGGGCGTGGGGCGTGATGAGCACCGGCTCTCACCGTGGTCAGGGGGATCCTGACCTCGGAAAGTTCAGAGCCGGTTTTCGGAGCCTTGTAGCAGCTAGGGCTGCGGAAATGCCGCGTAACGAGTCACCCCCGCCGCTCGCCGGCTGGTAGCGGCCAACACTGGCTTCTTGTTTCCGGGTCTCTGCTCTCGCTCCCTCTCTCTCTCTCTTTCTGTCTCTCTCGGTGAACTCAGGCAGGACTCGCAGGGAGCTGAGAATCTCCATTATACACCTCCACACCCTCTTCTCGGCAATGGATTCATCACCACCTCGTCCCCTTGGTGGAAGACGCGGGCACCCGCTGCGCCTCCTCCCGCACCCCTGCGCATCACCCATCGGTCTCTGCATCCTGCCCGTTACCCGGCCCCTTCCACCCCCTCCTCTCCATCCCCACAGCTTCTGACCCATTCCATCTACCGTAATCTTATCTCTGGACGACAGAAACGACCTCTTTCCTGGTCTGCTGGCCTCCATTCTCCTCTGCCTCCAGTTTATTCTCCTGACCAAAACTAGAGAGATTATTTTTCTTTTAAGAAAAATTAACCTGATCAAATCTCTCTCCAGCTCAAACCCTCCTGTGGATTCTCAAAGGATAACATCGAAACCCCTCACCCCGGTCTTCAGTGTTCTCCAGGGGAGCCCCTGTTAAATGTCTCCCTAAATTTCCCCTCTGCCCTAATGCCACACTCCAGCCAGACTTCTTCATTAATTCTTACGCCCCATGCAAACGCCCAGCTCTTTTCAACACCCAAACCTATGGGCACGCTGCTCCTTCTGCTTACAATTCCCTCCCGCCTCACGAACTCCTATGCATCCTGCACGACCCATACTCTGCTGCCCCTCCTCCAGCAGAGGGCACCCTTGCTCTGTGCCCCGCTCTACAATGAGGATCTGTGGCTCCCACAAACATGATGCTCGTTGCCTTCTCAACTAGACAATGACCTCCCTGTAGGCAGGGGTTCCGCTCCCCCCCCCCACCCGAAACGCATGTGGCCCTTAAGTACGCAGAGCGGAGAGGACGTCCGAGTGCAGGCGTTAATTACAGAGTCCCGGCAATTAGAAGCGAGGCCAACGCCTGTAGAAATGCAGGCAGCCGCAGAGCCGTACATAACAAGGCACTAATTGTGCAGAGAAGACAATTAGAAAGGGAGGTTTTGAGTCACCAGTCCCACAATCCGCACCATTAGACATCGGGCCGTATATAAAAGATGTGCTAATCACTGGGTTTGGACAATTAACAGGGCGCCCAGGAAATAATAAAGCAAAATGCCACCGTGCATTGCAGGCTCCGAGCCAGGTGGCGCCGCCTTGGGGACCGGAGTCTGGCTGCGCGGACTTGGATCTTCCTCAAACAAGAGGCTTACGCTCTCTGAGCCTCATTTTTTCTCCTCTGTAGAATGGGGATGTCTGTGGCGCCTGCCCCAGCGGGTTGACGGGGCGGCTCGCCACGAGGCGCTCAGTGCCCAGTTTGGATGGTGCTCACCAGCCCGGGCGTGGTGGGCGCGGGACGGTGTACATGATGAGGAGAGAATCTGACGACGGACACACAAGCTGAGAGGCTCTAATGAGGCGAGAGTCACTGACTGTGAACAATGCAGAGGAGGCGGGTGGGATCCCCCAGCCCCAGCCCAACAGTTTTAGTCCCCCAAGGAGGGGTTCACCCTTAATGCGCCCATAGAGCAGACGTGGAGCTGAGAGCTTTTGGCCGTGGCCAGTGCAAAGGGCCTGAGGCACGATCCCGTGTTTAAAGGACAATGAGGATCTACACCCCAGATCGTTGAAAGCAGGAACTCAAATGGATACTTGCCTATCAAGGGTGGTCACTGGGCCCTAAGTGGGAATTCTCAGGATGAGCAAAGAAATGTGTTCTCGGGGCGCCTGGGGGGCTCAGTCGGTTAAGCGTCCGACTTCAGCTCAGGTCATGATCTCGCGGTTCGTGGGTTTGAGCCCCGCGTTGGGCTCTGTGCTGACTGCCAGCTCAGAGCCTGGAGCCTATTTCAGAGTCTGTCTCCCTCTCTCTCTGACCCTCCCCTCCTCACACTGTCTCTCTCTCTCTCTCTTTCAGAAATAAATAAAACGCTAAAAAAGAAAAAAAAAAAAAAAGGTGTTCCGGGCAGGGAAAACCGTGTTGTATTTAAAGATCTGGAAAGTGGGAGTAAAGATGGATACAAAAGGTGACGCAGGAGGGGTGGAATCAGTCACGCAGGGCACTGTGGTCTGGAGGGAAGGGGTACAGCGGGAGCCAAAGAAGGTTGTAGAGCATCAGGAGAGCGGCATGTGCCGTCTGGAAGACCCACGGGGACGCTGTCCTGGGCGGCAGTGCCGAAGGTCGCTTTTGCTCTAACACAGCCCGGAAGGAGCGCGAAGCCTGGCCTCCCCCAACAGGTGTCCTGATAGAAGCCCGCGGCCCCCTCCCCCCCGCCCCCCGGGGTGCCCAGGTCACACGTGAGGTCCGATGACGACTGCGTGCCGCTCCCGCTAGAGACCCACCGACACCGGCTTCTTCAGTAAAGAAGCTAAAAGATCGAACTTCAGGCTTTTCACACCCAGTCGCCCGCACGCCCGGGGCCTCGTACGGGAACGTTCAGGTGTTTCAGAAGCAGCTGGGCCGAGTGCGTCTCTTCTGCCGAGCGCCTGTTTAGAAATCAATACAACTTGGGGCGCCTGGGTGGCTTAGTCGGTTAGGCGTCCGACTTTCGCTTAGGTCATGATCTCACGGTTCGTGGGTTCCAGCCCCGCGTCAGGCTCTGTGCTGACCCAGCTCGGAGCCTGGAGCCTGTTTCAGTCTGTGACTCCCTCTCTCTCTGACCCTCCCCTGCTCACGCTGTCTCTCTCTCTCTCCTAGAAATAAATAAAAAAAAACATTTAAAAAAAAAAAATAAATCTTTAAAAAAAGAAATCAATGCAACTAATATCGGTGAACAAAGTAATCTGTGTCCCCAGAAGACGAAGCCAGAGCACAGCTGTACCATCAGGGAGGTGGCATCGGGGACCGAGGTCTGGCCCTGCATCCGGGTCGCTGTGTGACTGCGGAGCGCGCTGGGTGTCTCTGGGCCTCCGAGGGCACCGCTGGCTAGGAGGGCTGGGCAGCTGAAGCTGATTACGGGGCGTCTCCAGCAGGCGGTGCTGGGAAGGAGGGCGGGCCCGGCCCCGAGGACGAGCTGCCCCAAGTAGGAGGTGAGCCGGGGGCTTAGACCTTCTTTCCCCTCCCGGGTCCCGCCGGTCACGGTTCACCAAGGCTGGTCCGGTTGGAGCTAAGCTGGGCCCCTGGCTCCTACCCTCCTGCCCTCCCCTCCTCTCTGTCTCCCCCCTGCCCCCGCTGTGCCTCCAACACACTGGGTGTGATCCTGCCCCAGGACCTTTGCATGGACTCTTCCGCCTATTGGGACACCCTTCCTCCACATGCCCCTCTGGCTGTCTCCTTCTCCTTATTCAGGCCTCAGCTCAATGTCAGCTCCTCAGAGACGCCCTCCCTGACCCTCCCGGCTGAGGTTGCCTCCCTGTCCCCCCTTCCCTTTGCCCACACACCCTGCTTCTTTTTAAAGATTTATTTTTTTTAAATGTTTTTATTTATTTCTAGGAGAGAGAGAGAGACACAGCATGAGGAGGGGAGGGTCAGAGAGAGAGGGAGTCACAGACTGAAACAGGCTCCAGGCTCTGAGCTGGCAGTCAGCACAGAGCCCGACGCGGGGCTCGAACCCACGAACCGCGAGATCATGACCTAAGCGAAAGTCGGACGCTTAACCGACTAAGCCACCCAGGCGCCCCTACACACACCCTGCTTCTGTTCTGCCCATCACTTATCACCGTTCAAAGTGACCGTTTCCGGGGCACCTGGGGGGCTCGGTCG